GAATGGAAAACCAGAGAAAAACTGTGGTGGAGGCTGACTCGCCAAAATGTTGGATTTTCTGTGACACATATAGTACTTCTTTAGTGTCTATTGGCAATTTTGCAAATGAAAGAGCTGGTGAGAATAAAAAATAGTGTGATTTTATTTTATCACACAGTGGCTTAAAATAACAATGTAAAGCGTATCATGAACAGTTCCATGTAGATAAAACCAGAAATATCATAGCGGAAGTTTAACCGCCTCCCTCCCGCCATATAGTCCAATGACGGGCGCAAGGTGGTTCTCTCCTTCTGGGAGGACGTCATATGACGTCCTCCCATTCTCATCGCGTATGCGCGGCTTGGGGAGCGCGCAGCACGGCGATCGGCAGTGCACTTTGTCCCTCAGACACAGTGGATCACTGATCCACGGAAAGAGCTGAAGGTGTCGGCTCGGTCATGTGATCAGCTGTGTCCAATCACAGCTGATCACATGTAAACAGGGAAATGCAGGTTATCGACATTTCTCTCCTCACGAGCTGTCAGGGACCATCGCGACGCATGGGTCTACACATGCGTAGGTGTCTGTCAAGACATGCAGGCAGCAGGGCACTAGGACCCAGGCGCACCCGTCATCTATGACAGTACTGGGCAGGCACTAGGACCTAGGCTGCGCCTGTCAGGTGCAGGGCGGGCTACTTAAACCAGCCCTGAACAGACACTTGTTGCCGAATGGTCTTTGCGTATCCTGTTGCCTGTGTTGTGAGTACTCTGATCTGGATTGTCTGACCTTGTTGCCTTCTCCTGTCCTGACCCTTTGGCTTGCCTGACTCTGCTCCTGGATGCTCCCTTATAGATCTGATCTTCTGGTATTGACCCTGCGTGTGACCCGACTATCCCTTGCCTACCGTCTTGTACCGCACTGACCCGCTAGTTACCGACACGGCCTGTTTGACTCTGATCTTGCTCATGCATCCATCCATCCCTCAGGGATCCCCGGGCTCCCTCACATCAGACTCCTAACCCACAGGAGCCTCTGGCAGACTCCTCTACCTCTGGTAGAGATACCCGGTAGCTGCGACCTTGTCCCGGAGCGCTCCAAGTCCATCCCCACCATCAGGGGCCCTGGTGAACAAGTGCTCCAGTACTTAGACTCCGCACTCTGGGGAGGCTCTATCAGGGGACTGGTAGAGGTGCTGTCAGGTGGTCCATTACAGTACCATTCGGCCATGACTGAGTCTGGAGGGAGGCCCTCTCCGCTAGAGGACATTTGCCGACATTTATCCGCCCTGACTCAGGCAGTAACTGCACTTCAGGATAAATGTTCACGTTTGGAAAATCGTTTTGATACCATGACCATGTCTGAGATTCCTTCCCAGAGCCAGGCTTCGGCCGTCGGCTCTGGGGGAACCTCTGGATCTCCCACAGGGGCTGCGGCTGCACCTTCACCAGCCGACCCTCGTGTTCCCATGCCTGAACGTTTTCGGGGAGATCGTGCACGATTCAGGTCTTTTAAAAACGCATGTCTGCTATATTTTGAACTGCAACCCCGTACATTCACCACTGAGTCGGTCAAAGTAGGATTCATTATGTCCCTACTACAAGACGAACCCATGCAGCTGGGGTTGGCTCGGCAGATCCTCACCCCAGAGGAACGCCAGCGAAGACGCACCAGGAACCTCTGTTTTTACTGTGGAGAAGCTGGACATGTCGTGCGGACTTGCCCGGTGAAAGCACGCAAGTCGAGAACTTCAGTTCCTTCTTGTTCCATGGGAAATATAAGCCAATCCAGTTATTTAGCGGTGCCCCTCTTTTTTCAGCTTCCAGGAAGGATCGTGGAAACCACAGCAATCATTGACTCAGGGGCCTGCAGTTGTTTTGTGGACCTTGACTTTGCCCGTCAGCAGGAAATTCCTTTACAGGCCAGGAAATGGGGGCTTAACTTATTTTTAGCTGACGGTTCCCAGATTAAATCAGGATTAGTAGATCAAGAGACTCCCCCTATGCTTACCACCATAATGGGTTTTCATCGGGAGTTGTTACGTTTTGATGCCATCGCGTCACCCCTTTTCCCAGTGATCCTGGGGCTTCCGTGGCTACAAGCCCACAACCCCCAGATCAACTGGGAGACCGGTTCCCTCAGTTTTCCTTCGGCATATTGTTGGGAAAATTGCAATGCCTCAGGGCCCGGGGCCCCCCAAATTCTCCTGTGTGCTGAGGAGAATTCCAGTCTGAGACAGATTGTTCCAGTAGTATATCATGACTACCTTGACGTTTTTAGCAAACGTGGGGCCGACACCTTGCCCCCACATCGCCCATATGACTGTCCTATTGATTTATTACCAGGATCCGAGATTCCCTTTGGCCGCATTTTTCCGTTATCTGAGGTGGAATTGGGGGTGTTGAAGGAATATATAGAGGAGAACCTCCGGAAGAAATTTATCCGTCCTTCCACTTCACCGGCAGGGGCGGGTATTTTCTTTGTGGAAAAGAAAGATAAAACTTTGAAGCCTTGTGTAGATTATCGGGAATTAAATCGAATTACAATTAAGAACCGCTACCCTTTACCGCTAGTCTCAGAGCTCTTCCAAAGCCTGAGAGCGGCGGTTTGCTTTACCAAGTTGGACCTGCGTGGGGCATACAATTTGGTACGCATCCGGGAAGGGGACGAGTGGAAGACAGCTTTTCGCACTCGGTTCGGCCACTTCGAGTATCTGGTTATGCCTTTTGGACTCTGCAATGCTCCGGCCACCTTCCAGCATTTTTTTAACGATGTCTTCAGGGATTTCCTGGACATTTTTGTCATTGTGTACCTAGATGACATCCTGATATTCTCACCATCCTTAGACACCCATAGAGTTCATGTGATTAAGGTTCTGGAGCGTTTGCGCCTACACGGCTTATATGCCAAGGCCGATAAGTGTTGTTTTGAACAGCAGAGCATTTCTTTCCTGGGTCTGATCATCTCCACTGCGGGGGTCGCAATGGATTCCCAAAAAGTCACGGCAATTCTTGAATGGCCAATCCCAACTGATAAAAAAGGCGTCCAACAATTCATTGGGTTCGCCAACTTCTACAGGAAGTTCATTAGGAATTTTTCAGGTCTGGTCTCCCCATCACGCAGCTGACTAAGTCAGGGGTCCGCTTTAAATGGACATCAGAAGCTCAGGAAGCATTTGAAACTTTGAAACGATTGTTTACCACAGCTCCCATTCCGGGCCACCCGGACGCAGCACTACCATATGTGCTAGAAGTGGATGTATCCGAAAACGCGGTGGGATCAATTCTGTCCCAGAGGAAAGGGCCAAAAGAACTGCTGCATCCAGTGGCATTTTTCTCTAGGAAACTCACCCCGGCAGAGCGTAACTATGACATTGGGGACCGAGAGCTACTGGCCATCAAGACCGCTCTGGAGGAGTGGAGATACTTGCTGGAAGGAGCAGCCCACCTGATTTTGATCTTCACAGATCACAAGAATCTCGAATATCTAAGAACAGCTAAACGCCTAAGGCCACGCCAAGCTAGGTGGGCACTCTTCTTTTCTCGTTTTTCGTTCCACATCACTTATAGGCCGGGTTCAAAGAATACTAAGCCAGATGCCCTTTCGCGCATGTTTGAGGACCCCAAGGAGGAACTCAGGCCGGATACCATCCTGTCATCAAGGAACTTTTTGGCCCTTCAAACTGATCTGCGTGCGAAACTGCAAGACGCATCAGGGACATGGTCTTCCTTACCAGAAGTACCACTCTCCCGCGAAGGAGGTTTAATACGAAAGGAGGGATTGATTGTGGTAACAGAGGAGGTGCAGACGCAGGTCTTGGGGCACTGTCACGATCATCCAATGGCAGGGTATTTTGGAGTGGCAAAAACGCTGGAGCTGCTGAAACGCACCATCTGGTGGCCTAATATGAACAGAGATTGTAAACGATACGTGAAGTCTTGTGCTGTTTGCCAGAGAAACAAGCCAACTAGAAACAAGGCCTGGGGCCTGCTACTCCCACTACCCATTCCTGCTCGCTCTTGGCAAATGATAGCCATGGATTTTATAGTGGAGCTACCTCCGTCCCAGGGTCATACTGCAATTTTTGTCATTGTTGACCGCCTGTCGAAGATGGCGCATTTTGTACCCTTGAAGAGTATTCCTTCGGCTATAGAGACTGCTTGGATTTTTATCAGAGAAGTGGTCAGGTTACATGGGGTTCCAGAAGACGTGGTATCCGATCGCGGGGTACAATTTACCTCCAAATTTTGGAGAGCCTTGTGCAGGGCCCTGGGTATCAAGCTATCACTCTCCTCCGCTTTTCATCCCCAGACCAAAGGACAGACAGAGAGGACTAACCAGACCTTGGAGCAGTACCTGAGGTGCTACACGTCTTTTTTGCAAAACGACTGTCTGACACTCCTGCCCCTAGCAGAATTCGCTTTCAATAACGCAAACCACTCAGCCACAGGGCAATTGCCGTTTTTTGCAAATTACGGATTCCACCCCACCTTCATGACCAAAGCATGGTCAGTTTTTTTTCTGATAACAAACTACTGCAGGAGGCCATGGCTAAGGCCCAGGAAGATAACAAAGAGATGTTTGACAAGAAGCGAAGGGGGAACTAGTGCTGCAACCAGGGGATAAGGTCTGGCTAGCAACAACTAACCTGAAACTACTTTGTCCCTCGAAGAAGCTAGGACCAAAATTTTGACCTTGTTGCCTTCTCCTGTCCTGACCCCTTGGCTTGCCTGACTCTGCTCCTGGATGCTCCCTTATAGATCTGATCTTCTGGTATTGACCCTGCGTGTGACCCGACTATCCCTTGCCTACCGTCTTGTACCGCACCGACCCGCTAGTTACCGACACGGCCTTTTTGACTCTGATCTTGCTCATCCATCCCTCAGGAATCCCCGGGCTCCCTCACATCAGACTCTTAACCCACAGAAGCCTCTGGCAGACTCCTCTACCTCTGGTAGAGATACCCGGTAGCTGCGACCTTGTCCCGGAGCGCTCCAAGTCCATCCCCACCATCAGGGGCCCTGGTGAACAAGTGCTCCAGTACTCCAGGGGACTGATAGAGGTGCTGTCAGGTGGTCCGTTACACGAGCTATCATGCTGACAGCTCGAGAGGAGAGCTGGTAATTGGCATTCCTCGGAGGGGACATGTGCACTGATCATCAGGGCACTGATGATCAGTGTGTCTTGATGATCAGAGTAGCCCCAGCAGTGCCACCTGTCAGTGTCCATCAGTGCCAGCTCTCAGTGCTCATCCATGCCACCTGCCAGTGCCCATCAGTGGCACATCAATGCCACATATCAGTGCACATCAGTGCCACATATCAGTGCCCATCTGAGCTGCCTTTCAGTGCCACCCATCAGTGCCACCTATGAATGCCAATCAGAGCCACCTATCAGTGCCAGTCAGTTCTGCCTATCAGTGCCAGTCAGTGCTGCCTATCAGTGCCCGTCATTGCTGCCTATCAGTGTCGCCTAACAGTGCCACCTATCAGTGCAGCCTATCAGTGCCCATCAGTGCAGCCTATCAGTGCCCATCACTGCAGCCTCATTAGCGCACATCAGCGAAGGAGAAAAATCACCTATTTACAAAATTTTATAACAAAAACTAAGAAAAAATTTTTTTTTCAAAATGTTCAGTGGTTTTTGGTTTGTATAAGAAAAAAAAAAAAACCCAGAGTTGATTAAATACAACCAAAATAAAGCTCTATCTGTCACAAAAGTGTGACAGCGCTGAAAGCTGGAAATTGGCCTGGGCAGGAAGGGGGTATAACTGCTCTGTAGGCTAGTGGTTAAAGATGTGTCACTCTTATGTCCATTGCCTCATGTCCTTCCATGTTCAGTTTGTCCTTCAGGGTCTTTGAGAAGAAGCCGGAAGTAGAAGGAAGTGACTATTTCTTGTCTTACAGCACCTGTTCCAGCTTCTCAGAATTTTCTTATGCGTGTCTGTAGGGACAGACGTGTGTGTGAGTGTGTATGAGTGTGTGTCTCTGAGGCTGTCCATTAGGGCCATTTTATGAAGCAAGTAAGCGTCATAATTTGTGATCTTAGGACCTTGTATGGCAAACAATACTGCTTAGCAGAGCAATTTCATTGAAGGGAGGGGACGCTACATATATGGTCTTTTTGATTGACAGGCACATATGTAGTGAACATAAATTACATCAGCCTGCTAATATTTAAAAGATAATGTAAATGAAGAATGTATCTTTACAACATCTCAATAATGTTGTATAACACAAATCTACGTATGTAACAATATTACCAACTTATAAATCAAACTAAATACACACAGATAGTATTAGAATACATTATGTAATACTTATTCTATTTTGATTCACTTCTAACACCCTTTTCATTCTACACCAGAGTCCTGTAACCAGCTATGCCCTATTATAGAATACTCAGCTCTCAGCTGATTAGCTAGCTCAGCTTATAACTTCTATCTCAGCTTTACTGAATAAATTTAACACTATCATTTGTCCAAGGCCATTCACACATATTAATATTAATTATGATTAATCATAAAAACCAAATATTTTGCAAGCTTGCCAACAATATAAGTGCCGAATTATGAATTTGATATAATTAATATTTATCACATATACAATATATAAACCCATTAGCTGCTAAAGGGGTGTGACCACATGTAACACTACAAATTCTGAATTAACCTTTTGCACACTGCCATACACTCTTTCTACCAAACTTGGCACAAAAACATGGATTTTTAGTTCACATACATTAGAGGTGAAAGGGGGGTACAGTGGAAGGACACAGATGTGAGAGTGGGTACAGTGGAGGACAGATGTGCAAGGGGGGACAGGGAAGAGTGGTGGTAGAGGTATGCGGGGCTAGAATATTGGAACAGGTCTGAGGAGGCTGCAGTAGTGGTACAGTGCAGTGGTGGCAGCAAGGTGGGGGGCCTCAGAGGTGAACAGGTGTAGGTTGCAGTGGCGATGAAAGGAAATATCTGGTTGTTTTGAACAACACCCCACTCTAGGCTGTCCATTACAAAGTTTGACCCATGGCTCACTGACCCATAGGTCAATGACCCATTGACCTTACTGAAAGCTATTTCCAGCCAGCAGCTGATGAAATCAGTTTTCCACAGACCACACGCATACATACACACTTCTTCCTCTTGCTTAAACCCTGCAACAGTTATATAAAACCCCTTTGTTTCCTAAGGTGCATAGTTTGTACGTGTTCACATTGCGTCTTATCTGAGGTGTGAAGGTGCAGTAATTAGTGCTGATTTGAGGCATGAAGGTACAGGAATTGGGGCTTATCTGGGGTTTAAATATAAACTTTTTTGTGTTCACAATAACTAACAAACACATTTTGTATTATGAGTGTTCATAATAACCAATAAGTTTAACTTGCCATTATCCAACACTATAATGCACTACTGTTCACTGGCACTCCAGCTGTCTAGTGCTTGTAAAAATGTCATTTGATGTGGAAAAGGTTGCTGTTCCCTTGCCTAAACCATCAAATAACAATTGCAATTATATGTTTATAAAATGAAATAAATCATAATCCGCAATAACCAAAAATAATTGCAAAGATGTGCTCATCTCATCATCTCATCAAGAGTCCACTCTGAAAAATTCCTCATCTTCCAAGACCATGTCCTTGGAAATACTGTTCTCAGTGGCAAATTTATTTAAACAGTTTCCAATTGGGGGGGCATGGTCTGGCTCAGGTCTAAAACGGCCACTGGAACTGGCAGCTCCTGCACCTCAGGGCTGATTATTAGCTATTTGGAAGACAATCTGTTCACCAGGATCAGTGTGATCAGATGCTTTCCCAATTTACAAATGGCACTGTTCATATCCTGCGAAACTGAAGTGATGAAATGCTTGTAGCTTCCGATTTCTTAGACTATAGAGATGATTGGCACCATTCAGGTCTCCAATCAGCTCTGTGGTCATCTGGCAGGAACACCGGCTGCATTCTCAGGTTCCTCCGATGGCGTTGGACTGCCCAAGAAGGCCGTGGAAGGTAGCGGGGGAGGGGGGGGTAGTCTACCACTACTTGTAAAAGCAATCCTGCAGCTAGGATTGCTTTTACATGAAACACCGGCTGCATTCTCAGGTTCCTCCGATGGCGCTGGACTGCCCAAGAAGGCCGTGGAAGGTAGCGGGGGAGGGGGGGCATAGTCTACCACTACTTGTAAAAGCAATCCTGCAGCTAGGATTGCTTTTGCATGAAAGCCCATCGTCGGCTGAAAAAAACAATACCAGGATGATGCCTGTAGCTGTAGGCATCATCTTGGTATAACCATTCAAAGTCCAGTGATGTACCAGTACGTCGCTGGTCCTTGTTGGGTATATATACCCATGTTGTTGGTTTTTTTTTGTATGCGGCCTGTGGGCTGAATGAAAAAAAAAGAAGAAATCTCTGCCAGAAAAAGTGTGTGGTATGCCCACAATTAGAATATACCGCCCTGTATCCACCCACTTCTAATGGTGGGCACATATTAGGTTGCCCGGCGCCAATTCCAAGATTGTACAAATGACTAAATAGTGGCACTCTTGAATAAAAATTGTCCACATATAAGTGGTACCCCATATGGAAAAAGGATGAAACCAAGTCCCAAACCATTAAGACAAGGATAAATAAAGTGTGCTAGATTTCAAATCTTCAACCATATATAATTTGTGTGCTCAAAGCTTGTGCCAATCTATCCGTCACCATCTGGCGTGCGTGTTCACCTCAAATATTTGACCCTCATAGAGCATAATGTATCACCGGATGATCCCAGGTAGGATGGATCTCTCCCTCTGGCTGGACACAGGGTCAGCTCCCACCGTAATCAATCACTACATGGTCAAACACCTTTAAGGGAATCTTCAATGACTCATATGAAAGAAGTCAGAGAGAACTTTCATAGTGTAGTATTTTTAAATTTAATAAGGAAATCCACAATGCCAAAAGGCTACTCACACTTTAAAATAGGGTCACAGACCCATCAGGCAGGTACTGTGTAATCCCACAGTTAAGGTGTACATTCAAGGAGTCCAAAGATGGTGACTGCCATCCATGCATAATGACGTCACCACACTCTAGTCCGACGCGTTACGTCACGCTGCCACGTGACTTCTTCATTTATCATTGGGACTTTGTGATATATAGTTTAATATTGTTATTGTCACGGTGTATAATTTAGTCACTGTTGATTTCACTTTAGGTGTCTCGAAGTCACATTTATGCATTCACATTTTTTCTCTATTTGTTTGAATCATGATATACTCCATACTTCATATATATTTGAATTAAGTTGTGCATGATCAATAAAAAAGATGTGAATAACCAATAATTGAACCAAGTTACTTTTATTCACATCTTTTATTGATTTTCACTATTTATTTTAAGTGTACCACAGTATACACAGCGCTACACCACTTTCCTTTTCAATTTGTTATACATCATAGTAAAGCCGGGTGTTAGCAGCTACTTCATTTTCTGAGACTATTGTTGGCAGCGCATGAGTCCACCCCCCCATTCATTTTAAGTCCCAAACCATCTTGCTACTGCTCCCCATGTAGTCGGGACATCCGGGGACTCCATGTAAATCCGAAACTTATATAGCCTGTTGCCCTCTCACAGGTCTTATACATCTTGACCCCATATCTGGCATGCTTGTTGGGTAGAAATTGTTTGAATGCAAGGTGTCCAGACAAATTAATGAGGGACTCATCAGTTTTTTTTTTCTGGGGAGTGTAGACATCTGCAAATTTTTGGTTAAGGTGATTTACGAGGAGCCAAATTTTGTGGAGGCAGTCAAATTCAGGGTCACCCTGAGGACAACAGATTGTGTTGTTTTTGAAATGCATAAAACACATTATACTCTCATATCTGTACCTGGCCATGGCAATAGAGAACACAGGCATATAGTGAATCGGTCTGTGGACCAATACAACCGCAATGCATTTTTTTTAGTAACGCCCATGTTGAGGCTTAATCCCAAAAAAATGTAAATTTGGAAACTGTAATGGGTTTCCATGAAAATAGTCCAGCAAGGTTTGAATTTGGGTTGACGGCTTTAAATTGTTGTGCATATAAATTTCTTTGATCTACAATCAATGCATACAGATCTTCCATGAAAAGCAGCTCCAAAAAATCAAGGGGAGTATTTAAATTAGCTGTTTTCACCTGAATTCCAGGTTGGGCAGTGAATGGGGGAAGTATTGGTGCTGTAAAAATTGTGGGCTGCCAATCGGGATTTGCAAGCACATCCGGAAGGATACTAGGGGCTCTATGGGCCTGTGTGCAAATTCTTGGTGGCTGTGGAACAATACTTGTGGTCGCTACCACACCAGCTTATACTGCACTTATGGGACTCGCCAAGTAACTAAGTAATACTGCAGTGCTGGCATTATTATTATTATACAGGATTTATATAGTGCCAACAGTTTGCTCTGCACTTTACAATATAACGGGAGACAATACAGAACAATACAAGAGGGTTAGGAGGGCCTGATCCTGGGAACTTGCAATCTAAGAGGTATGTGAAAGACCAGGAAATACAAGACCGCTGGTGCTCGCTAGTTCACCAAAAGGTAGAGCAGCTCTAGTACTGGCCGTCTGCTGCAT